TCTCCCTCCCTCCCTCCCTCTCTCCCTCCCTCCCTCCCTCTCTCTCTCTCTCTCTCTCTCTCTAAGCCAAAGACAAGATTTATTTAAGATCTGCCATACTGGCCAGACTCTTAAGGAATCGGAACATTTGTGAGCTATAAGAATCTGAGCCTCAGCTACATTTTAAGAATCTCAGCCCCTTAATGGAGGCCAGATAGATCTTATATACAGAAAAACTGTGAGAGTGATCTAGGAGTGGCCAAGTAGTTTGGGGTGACGGGAGGAGGGGTCTGGGAGAAGGGGTATCTTGATGGGAGTGGCCAGTAAGCTGGGGTGACTGGAGGAGGGGTCTAGGCAGGATCAAGGGTGGGAAGTGGAGGGGTAACAGAATTGGAGATTAGTCTTAGTCTATTAAGGAAAGGCCAGTTGATAGGATTATAGCCTCAGGCTACAGACTTCCTTGATCAAGTAAGAGAATTCAAAGACAGTCCAAGGGTTTTCTAGGGCTCATAGATAAGTGGGACCCAAATTCTTTTTGAGGTGAGAGGCAAAGGTCTCAGCTTGGGCCCGGACCATGTCATTCCCCCCTCAAACAAATGGGACCCAAATTCTTTTGGGGTAAGGGGCAAAGGTCTAGCAAGGCTCAGATTCTCATAATCTAGCCAATAGTTCACAGCGTTCTGATTCCTTAAGAGTCTGGCCAATATGGTGGATGTTCTAATAAACCTTGTCTTTGGCTGAAAGAAGGCTTGGGTAGAATCCATTAAGGCAGAATCCACGTGTTGTGATTTTGGGGTTCCAGCACCCCTAAACCTCAACATATGGTTCCCTGACTGGGAAAAACTGCCTAATCCCAAGCTCTTCTCTAGCCAAGACTGGAAGGTATGGAAGCCTCTCCCCTCTCCCCAATCTCTTTCTTGCCCTGCAGTTGGGGTCACACTCCAAGCACCTAGGAAGGCCTGGAGGTGCCTTTTGGGCAGACAGTTATGAGGCTGTCTTGAACTTGGCTCTCAGGCTCTTAGTTCACTGGCTTGGTTCAAGGCCATGGACCTGAGCACACCTTAGAGGACAAGACAGACGCCCTATCTGGAAGCATATGCGCAATTCTGTAAATTCTCTCTGCGCTAGGGAATTGGGGAAGACTGCCCGTGCTTTTTGGTTCTTTGAGGCTTACTTATTCCTTTCCCTCTACATCCCCGGATCTTCCTTCATGGAGGATACAAGGAAAAGTTAGAACAGCTAAAAATATCTTAGCAGATTCTAGAGGTTTTTGTGATCACACCTCCTTACAACCCTTGTCACTCCCTTCTCCCACTCCTTTCCCTTGAGTCAAGAGGGTATCTTTGTTAATCCCTCTCATAGAAGAAAGTTCCACCCTTCCCCCCTCACCTTCGAATTTGCCCTCCTACATCTGGCGAAAGGAAGGAGGGGGGAGCAGTAGCTACAGCATGGGCCCCACTGGCAATGGCCTTGGGCCCTGGGGCAACCTTTGCCTGGAAGCATCACTCAGGTTCAGCACATCCTGCTCACCCCCCACCCCTACCTCTACCCCAGTGGCCCTGGGGACAGAGGGAAGGGGGATGGGTCAAGGTAAAGAAACTAGTCTCTGAACTTTTGTAAGCATGCTCTTTTAAAGTTGCTGTTTTAACTGTTAATGATGAGACGTTGATTCTCTGCATAAAATAATTTAGAAATGCATTTAACAAAATTGAAGTCACCTGACTGGTAATGGATTTGTTTCAAGTTTCAAATTGGTGAACTTTTTGTATCAGTTACATCAAGCAACTTTTTATAATTTGGTTACTGCTAAAACAATTTGGCTATTGTTAGTTATTGTCTTAATGTGTAAACTTGCCAAAAAGCTTGTTTGGGTTATGACTTGCTAAGAATTCTGCAAGTATATAGAAATAAATAATCTCTGATGACTAGCTTTTTACACCAGGACAAATTTAAATTTGAGATGTCAATCTTGGATTTTTTTTTCCTAAGCTGTGATTAGTGAAACACTGAGATAAAAGCTCATGGTACCATAAATTATTTTATTTTGAGTTGTCTTATGGATCATAATAATCCACAGATTATCAATGATTCACCATCTGAGAGAAATGCCACAAGCTACTCAGGGAGAATGTAATACTACTGGGAAGTCAACATCGGGAAAAGATGAGAGGACAATTATAGTCTCAGTCTAAGATGGGATCTCCTGACTCAGTTTCCCCATTATATTCCTCTGAAAAGGAATGTTACCCACCTGGCTATTCCTGAGTCTGGCTATGAGGTGGATCTGATACAGCATGGTTGGCAAATTTCTATAGTCAGAGCAAATAGACAGCAAATGATATAAGCACAATGCAAGTGTGTGAGATCTTGCTATTTTGACCTGAATGTGTAGTCATTCAATACCCCCAAAAAACTGAAATTAAGTCAGTAACATCTTCAGTTTGGTTTGGGGAGGGAAATTTCAGTGATAACTGAAGTGAAAGTCAGTCTCTTGGCAAATTCCTTTGTGTAACTATTGACCAGGGGTGGAAAACTCCTACCTGCAAAAGTGTTACTTAAACTTTTGAAAAAGTAACAGGTCAAATGTAAATGATTTTAATGGGGCTCTTACACTTTTACTTCTCCCTATATCTGGGCCCTGCAATCTTTTCTGTCAGATTTGTGTCTTCCAGACTACAGAATTCATCTACAGCTGGAGTAAACAGCAGGTACTAACCAATGTCCCCTCAATATCCTCTGGATGCAGTCTGTGCTCCACTCAACCCTCTCTTTTGGACCCCCCTTCAAGGCAGGGACAGCTCTATGTCCCCTGCCAGCAGGAAGCAGTTTCAGAAGCCAAGACCTTCGCCCCTTGCCCCAAGAGAATTTGGGTCCCATTTGTTTGAGGGGGATATGATGGGGTATGGGTCCCAAGCCAAACCTAGATCTTCTGATGCCAAATTCACAGCTCTTCCCACTGTACCAAGAATAGAAGATAAGGTTGAAAATATATAGTGGAGACAACCTTAGGAGGGCTCTCAAATGTTAAACTGAGGCTATTTTATAGGGAATGGGGAACCAATAAATATTTCTGAGCAGAGAAACAACATAACTTAATGCAGCATTTATAAAGCATCTACTAAGTTTAGGGCATCAATAATAACATTAATTCCATGTGTCATAGAAGATGAAATATTCTGGAAGGCAGACATGAGGAAAGGGCACATTATAGACAAGGGGGGATAGCTGTGTGGATGTAGAAGACAACATATTTAAAAATATAGAGCACATAAAGGGGAATAATGTGAAATAAAATTGGGAGGGGAGATTGCAGTCATGTAGGAGAAGGCCAGTTAGCATAATGTTAGACTAAAATATTTTTATTTTATAGTATAAGCAATAGGAAATGCCTGAAAGTCTTTGAACAGGAAGTTGTGCTGTCATACATATGCCTTAGGACAATTCTGCTGGCAAAAGATAGATTAAAGTGGGGAGAAAGTGGGGAAAAAGAACAAAGTAAAAAGTGTACAGCAGAGAACAAAAGAAAACCTACAAGGAAGAAAAGAAAAGATGGATAGCTTTCAATATAATGAGCAGTATTTCATATCTAGCCTTTCTTGAAATGGAAAGTTATTGCTATATATTCTGAAGCCTCTCCTACTTTCTGCTGTGCACATAACATTTTGTTCTTTTCTTATTTTATATTTAGGTTTAACACTTAAGTTTATAATATGTTTCTTTTTCTTTTCTTATTATGTATTAAAGTTTTAGTCTAAAATAAAAAATAAAAAAGATTAGAGAAGAGAAAGGGAGTTTGTTGGTATGAAGACTGGGAGGTTAGTATAATCATTCAGGCTAAAAGTGGTAAGAGTTTAAAATGAAGTAGTAGCAGTATAACGTGGAAAGTAAAATTTCAAAATGATAATTTAGGAAGATAATTTGCTTATTTTTTCAAGTATTCATTAAATCATGATTTTCATATGTGGCTTGTGGAAATAACAACATAATATCAAGTGATTTCATATACACTAACTACCTTAAGACTTACTACTTTACATTCATATTCTGTAGTTCCTGTTTCCATTTTCAATTGGGAGAAATGCAAATGAATAAGGTATATTTCCTGCCCTCAAAGAACTTACAAAATCTAGAGTGGAGTGGGTTTTTTCTTGGGGGCAGGGAGTAAAGGGTACATAAAATTATACCTACAGAATGGATGTGAGATGATAAGAGCCTGAAATGGGGTGTTCTGTAGTGGGAAGGATAAAAAAAAAAAGCACAAATTAAAAGCAGAAATTAACAGGAATTGGCTACTGATCTGATGAAGAAGTAAAAAAGATTTTGAGTCTGAGTGACTAAGAAAATGATCTTTGATCATTGATGGAAGTCAGGAAAAGAAACACTTTAGTTGTGTGTGGGGTGCTGGGTGAGTGAATGAGTAATGATTTCAGTTTCATGTATTATGAGTTTCAGATACTGGCAGCATAAGCCAGTGAAAATATATAGCAGTCAGTTAAAACACAGAACTAGAGTAGTGAAGAGAGGTCAGGACCAAAGATATAAATCTGGGTGTCCTCTGCACAGAAACTATAATTGAAGCTAGAGAAGTAGATTCACATATGGATAATGGAGAGGTTGATGTGATTTGTTGTTCCTCTATGTATACTGTAATGGCATGCATTAACTCTTCCTAAAACATCAGTTGTTATTTTTACTACCTGCTTTAACCTTTAGTGTCTAATATTTCAAATGAAATTCAGTTGAAAGAATAGAAATTAGGATGCAGTTCTGGCTATCTAACTTCCTTGATTTTATTGCTGATTAGAGGAATAGTCCTCATATTGCTAGTCATTTAATATTTTTATATACTACTCTTGGTTATAATTCTTTATTTCAAAACACTAATCAAATTTAACTTTAAAAATAATCAAAATATTTAAAAATCTTAATTTGTATATTTTACATAAATCTCAGAGTTTATTTCACTTAAGCATAGAAAACATTAACAGAAAGCACTAATATAGCATGGGCTACATACTCACATTATCTGGCATCATCTCACTTTTCTCTGGGCTTTCTTCTAAATAAATTCTTTCCTTCAAGCCACCTCTGGGACTCTACCAAAAAAAAAAAAAAAAAAGTAAAAATCATTGTGTTTCAGTAGACCCATCAAAAATGAATCAGGGGGAAAAAAAAAACCTTTGAGTCATAACCAAAGTAAATCTTCTACCTGCTTCAAAATTACTGAATAACGATAAAGAAAAACAGATGACAAAATATGTGCACAAACAACCAATATGCACATGGGCACAAGGAAGACTAAAGTTGTAGAACTGAGAAATATGAAGGATGTGGCACCAGCAAGACAATCTCATAGAGTATCAGGAGACTCCAGTAGCCATGAAAGCTTTTTGCAGTTCTTTCACTTTCCAAACTAAAATAACAATTAAATTTCAATATGGAGGCAGTATTAATCTTCCATACATTTAAGCATAAAATTAGCCTCTTTACTTGGTCAAATTTAAATGTCTCACTGAAGTTTAAAGTTTACCTATTCAAGAGTCTTATCAACATCTTTCAAAAAGAAATGCTCAAATTTCATTTGCATAGTATTCAAAAGTCTTGGATGATCCTTAATAAAGCTTCCTAAATCACCTCTAAGTTTACCCTTAATGTAATGTCTACCCTTCTAGCCCAAAGCCCGTGATCTAAATCAAAGTTTTTTGGATGGGAAAAAGTTGTTTGAAAAGAAAGAAAACTATTTATTGAGTCTCTTTAAAGATGATGAATATTATAGACCTGCTAATTATTAAAAGCTATCTATTTTTTTAAAGGCCATCTATCAATACCTAGCTTTATCCTAATCTACTGCTTTTTTGGGGAAAAAAGTATACAACGAAATAAAGGTCAAATATCATTAGAAATGTTTTAGTCTCAGTGAAATTCATTTTAATGAATCCACGAAATAAAACACATTATTTTCACAGCTGAGTCACTATGAATATGGCAACACCATAACAGTAATGTGTAGAGAAGCGTATACCAGATGGAAAATTTGCAGGTTCAGTTTTAGTCCAGCATTTTCCATCAGATAGATCTCTAACTATGAACAAGTCACTTAATCTCTTTAAGTCTCAATTTCCTTATGTATAAAATAACAGAAGGATGCTACAAGATCCCCAATATCCTTTCTAGCTTTAAATTCTATACAATTCAAAAATATAATTCCTTAAGGCAAAATGAATTAACATATGAAAAGTGCTCTACACAGAGAAGAGGAAAGAAGGTGCTATCATTCACACAACTTCAGTTCCTATCTTCCCCATACTCCAAGATTTTGATTTTTTTGTTTATTTGTTTGGGGGTGGCTGGATGAAGTAGGAGGTTAGGTGGTTGGAATATCTGACAAGAGGAAGGATGTTGTTGTGGTAGTATCAGTCTTTTCCTATTCTTTGTGACCCAATTTGGGGTTTTCTTGGCAAAGATACTGGAGTAGCTTGCCATTTTCTTCTCCAGCTCACTTTGCAGATGAGAAAACTGAGGCACACAGGGTAAGTGATGTGCCCAGGGTCACACAAATAGCAAGAGTCTGATGGCAGACTTGAACTCAGGAAGATGAGTCTTCCTGAATCCCACCCAGTGCTCTATCCACTGCACCACTTAGCTTCCCCAAAGAAGAATAAGAAGAGATAAAAAGTTAATTGTGGATCAAACAAAAGAACATAGCTCTTTCTTCACTCACTTTGAACATGAATTAATGAGTATGAAATGCTACAAAAACTGCCAAGAATTAAGTAGAATGATATACTTGGGGGTTCAGAAGATCCAAATTCAAATTTTACCTCTAATACTTAACTACCTCTCTGACCCTAGGAAAGTCATTTAACCTTTTAGCCTCACTTTCTTCATTTGTAAAATATAAAGGTTGGAGTAGATGGCTTCTAAGGCTGCTTCCAGTTCTAAATTGGTAACTCTAACATACACACATACACACACACACACACATATGTGTGTGTGTGTATATATATATATATTATTTTGATGGGGGTGAGAAAATGGTAGAATGCTAAATACAGTAACTATTGAGCAAGACTGAAGAAAGCATTTGCTAAAATAAATTTACGGTTGTAGATCAAAAATGCATGTACTATCTCAGCTGGACATGAAAATAATTTCATCATATAGAATAATACATTACAGTGATTATCACTATTCTGGCAATTTATCTGTATTCTTTTCAGTTGTCAAACTTGCAATGTCCTCAGAGGATGGGGTGAATGACTAGTTAGTCTATTACTTCCGTCTATTCCTTAAAGAGAATGTAATTTGGACCAACCCAATGATGTCACAAAACTTTACAGAATCTTCTTATTAATATACTGACAGAAGAAAAAGATTTAAGATTCAAACTTACAGCTCCTTTTTAATAATCTGGTAAATATTCATGTGTAGTTGACAACAGAGAGATTAATGAAGAAACGTCTATTGATAGTCATAACCTAATAATTGAAGTATATCTAGTAATACTGGGACTTTTACTCTCAGCAGTGGCAGTCTGCCCTATGATTCAGGTCTGAGTCACTGACCACAAATGGAATATTAACATGCTTTTATAAGATATCAGCAAATGACCTCCTGGTTCAGTAAGAAAGCAATGATACTACTGACTTCTCTATGCAGTAACAAGATGCTTATTGGAAAATTCCATCCTGTTGAAAGAAATGTAATTAGGTATACATGGGAAAAAGTTAGCTCCAAAACCTAAAGTCACAATACAATATTGCATTTCAGATTTTTGCTCATAATACTGTTCTGTTAGAAGATAATGGTGGTGTTGATAAGCAAGAAATAATTGTGTAAATAATAAGAAGAGAATATAAAAAAGGACTGAGCTCAGAGCCAGGAAACCTGAAGTCATAGGATTACAGATTTAGAGATGGAAGGGACCTTAGTGGTCATGTAGTTTAATGCTTACATTTTGCAGATGGAAGAACTGAAGCAGGCCCATAAAAGTAAAATTACTTACTGAAGTTCATTTTCAGAGGTAAGTGGGAAATCCAGATCCTCTGTCTCCAAAACTAAAGTTTTCTGATAATCTTAGCTTTTATGAGCATCATTTTCTTCACTTGTAAAACAAGGATGTTGGACTGGATAATATCTAAATCCCTTTCCAGATTTAACATCTAAACATCTACTATGACCTATTATCAATCAAATAAGTAAATACAAATTTTTAAAAGCAAAACAAAAAAGAAGATGTGCAGAAGAATAATGATTAAAGTTTGAAATATTTAATACTTACGTCTGCAATGTCACTATTGGGTCGAGAACCATCTCCACTGCTATAATCAATTCTGCCCAACCCATCACCACTGTCTGCTTCTACTTCACTGAGTAGAAGGGAGTCACCAGAAGTCTTGCTGGATATAACTACAGCTCCATCCTAAAAATAGATTTTAAAATATATCTATATATCTATATATAGATATATAGATATAAAGGTGCAGGGAGCAGCCAAAAGTAAAGAGTCATATTACACTCCAGAAGGTGAAGCTCTGCAAAGAGTGAACACTCAACAAATGTTTGCTGTAGTTGTTATTGTACATATAAATACATATAAAACAATGGAAGATTTTAAAACAAAAAAACTTATTAATGACTACTGTGATTTTGAAAGAAGACATCTATGAAGAAGGGTAAAATATCACTTCAGTTAAAGTGACTGCAGGTTGAAGGTACAAATGCAACATAGAGACACAGTGACCTATAAATCTGTGAAGATATTGTGTGATATACTTTTTTCATCCATTAGTTTTTGTCCCTTGGGATTTAAATTACTACACTGTAGCTTCTAGTTAGTCAACTCCCCAACTTCAAATGAGATAATATTTGTGAAGCACTTAGCACAGTGCCTGGCATGTAGAAGGAGTTACAAAAATGCTTATTAGCTTCTCTTTCCTCCTTCATAGTTTAATTGAGTTACAAACTTTTAGATATCATTCTATAAACAAACAACCACAAAGGGCACAGACCACATTTTTGGACAGATATATAAACCCCGAGTATGTTGTCCATTACCTACAAATTATAGAAAAATAAAATGCTATCAAGGCTTCAGGGAATAGTGGAAAGAGCAATAGATTTGGAGCCAGTAGACTTGGGTTTGAATCCTGGATCAATTACTTTTTACCTCATGTCATTTAACTTCTCAAGATCTCAGTTTCCCTATACGTAATATAAAGGAGCTGGACAGTGATTCTGAAGGTTCTAATTTTAATTTCTATGATTTAGGGAATCCAGTCCATTCACACTATCAGAGGAACTAAATCTATATCAATCAGCTGTTTGATCTCAGGCAAGTAACAGTTCCTTCAAGTCTCAGTTTATCTATCTGTAAAATAAGGGTGTTAGAGTAGATGATCAATCTCACCTCTTTGAACAGAGATGTCTACATAGAGATTTTCAGTGTGTGATGAAAGCATCACTGAGGAGTCAAAGGACAATCATCACAAATGAACCAATGTGAATATAGGGACAGTTTTTTTCTCCCTCCAACCTCATGCAAATACTAGGTACAACTTATTGCTTTAAGATGGAAAACTGGAAGAGGCAGCAAGGTGGTTCAGCAGAGAGAGTGCCAGGCCTTGAGTCAGGAAGACCTGAGTTAAAATCTGGCCTCAGACAAAGATTTAGTTATATGTCCTTGGGCAAGTCAGTTAAAGCCTAACTCAGTTTTCCCACCTCGAAAATGGGGATAATAATGGCATCTATCTCTCAGAGTTGTTGTGAAGACCAAATCTCTGGCATACCATAAGTGTCATACAAATGTTAGTTATTATTATTAATGTTTAGATTTGAATACTATAGAACTAGCTTAAAAATATTTGCCACCACAAATGCTTGGCTATTTTTTGAGTACGACATCATCTCTATTACTTCTACCAACAATATCAACTTTAAATGGAATCTATTAAAACCACAGAAGATATAATCATCTCATTTTGAGGGAACACATGTGGTATACCTTAATACTCCTTAGTAGTATATCAAATAAGAAAAAAAAATCGGTTAACTTCTTTGAAAATTATTATTTTTTAAAAGGCACACAATTGGGAAATACCAAATACCTCAGAGTTCAATCTGACACCTAGTCATCCACATTTCTGTAATTTCCTACACAGTGCTTCCTGCAAGAAGATAAGTTCACAGGAATATATGATTTTCTTTAGAGTTATCTGTTAGCTCCCTTGAAATATTTCTCAAAAGGAAACCTGAAAGGTTGAAGAGCATTCAAATAATGGAATTACCTGAGCAGAGCCTGTTGCTTTGGATAACTGCTCCTGCAACTGAGGGATGTGTTTCTTGGCCTCCTGGATCTCCTTAAGCAATCGTTGAGCAGGTGTGCGGCTGTAATCTTCTTGCAACAACTGGCAAATTATAAAAAATATTCTGTTAATCACCAAAGCCTAGACCAGCACAGCAAAGGCTACTCACTGTTCTTGTGAGTGTACTGGCTAATATTATTAACGTCCTACTGACCGGGACTGTTACAGTGACATTTCAGCTCTCAACTCTCTTTACAATATTTCCTTTTCTGACCTCTTCGTGGTCCCATTTCTAATTTAGTACCTGTAGCCGTTCCTGCTCTTTCTGCAGCATCTTCCTTAGAATCTCTACTTTCTGGTTGTGAACCACATTGTTTTCTTCCTGAAAAACAAGAAACAAAAGATGAAAAAGTCAAGCTAAAAAATGAATTTTAAAAGACGGACAACTCTGTGCCTTTGTTCAATTTATCAATAATAACTGAAATTCCTCTATTCTAGGCTGTTCTAGGGATTCCCATTTGCACAGAACCACAGCTGTGTCACTTTTTAAAGCTGAATGATCAGAAGGGAATTTCTGACTTTCCATATCTTATACTATATTTGGTTCTTAGAAATATTAGCCATTAATAGCACTGATTGGAAATAGGCAAGAAATGTAAAAGTTTCCCTTGCTCAATTTGGCTAGTGCATTTTGATCATTTGTTATCCCGCTGATTTCTCATTTCCTGAACCATCTAACAGGTTAAATTATATGGTAGTTTTCCAAAATCTAAATTTTTAATGCACACTATGCTCTCTACTTCAACCCAGAAATTTTAAGATAAAACATCAGATGTCATTATATGGCTAGGCTCTTTCCAAGACTTTTTCTGATTCTTACTCCCATCAACACTGGGCTGGTGATTCTCTCCGTATTTCCAGATGTTCCAGGTGAATGGGGGGATGTCATGATGGGAGACATATGTCCAAAGGCTGCTGGCTCCACTTCAGAATCAGCTAATGGAATCTGGGGCGACCCAGGTGGGCGTCCCTGAACAGTGAGAGCTACATAGGAACCCGCTAAAAAGGAAAGTGGGAAAAACAGGAGTAGGAAAAGGGAGGAGAAAAAAAGGAGAAAATAATATTGATATGGAATTTTTGATAATCACAGAAGCTTTACAATCAAATAATTAAGACCTAGAAGGAATTACTTAAGTCATCTAATCTAAATCTCTCATTTTCTAGGGGAGAACACTGAAGAAGCTTAGCCACATTAAGTGAATGGTCTAATATCACACAATTACATAGTGGCAAAGCAGATATTAAAACCCAGGTCTCTTGCCTCCCAGTACAGTGCTCCGTTTTATCACATTTCTTCATACATACAGTCAAGTAGAAAAATGAACATTTTTATTTCTCAGGTCTGAAAGGACTTGCTACAGCAGAAGATATTATAATCTATTAATCATCTCTAAAAAAGGGGGGCTCTGTAATCTCTTAACTCTTAGAGAGTAAATAATATGTTCTAGATAATAAATTAAACTCTGAGACCAGCTGAAATCAAAAAAGACTAAAAATCATACACAGAAGAGTTAGGGAATTTCAAACACTATTGTCTCTGTTCAAAGATTAAGCCATTAAAAACTTCAGACTTCACAAGTCTTATTCTGATGTCTTATGTTGCAGAAGTTTCCCTGGGTTCTTGAAAGGTATCAGCAGAAGCCTCAGAAGGTTCAATCAAGCCAAAGAGACTTTGAGTACAGTGCCAGAAAAGGACTGTGTGTGCTGAGGACCATCCCAGCTAAGTATAAAAGGACTTTTCACTGGGAGGATGACAAGAAGCTGATAAATTATTTGACCATGGAAACCCATAAAGCAGACATCAATACAAAACAGTTCTGTCTTGTGCTGTTCCTTTTTGTTTCTACAATGAAGATATTAGAGTGACAAGAAAAGGACACACAGGAAACCAAGGATCATCTATCTGGCTTTTTTACCTTCTACTAACATTAATTGTTGGTATTTTAAGTGTGAGATCTTCATCTAATCAGTTGTTCACTAGGCATTTATTAAGAACCTACTAAGTGCTAGGTACTGTGCTAGGTATACAAAAATTATCAATGAGCTAAGAACTGAACCACACACATACTGACATTATCATAAGAAATGAAAACCAAAAGACAAAACAAGTTGCAGCTATATGGGGATATGGTTTATAGATTCTCTTTAGAGGGGTAATAAAAGAACTGATGGGGTTAGTTTCATCATGTTTCATCATCTAAAGGCAACATGAAATATTTCATGGGATACTTGTCACTTTTCTCTAGAGAACTGACAAAGAGTTGAGCAAAAGGTTCAGTCATGAAACCATTTGCAATTTGTGTCAACATTCACTGTGAAGGAAAAGAGAATTCTAAAGAAAACTTGACCTGATCCTGCAAACCAAGTAAACATATATCTTGATACCCTGGGAATTTAATGTAAATGTGGGCACAGTATAAAACAGAGAAAAAATATGTTGGAAAGTATGGTTTCCGATTAAGAAATAAAAGAGGGTAAAGGTTTGTATGTTAATTAGAAACCTCAGAACTATGTATCACAAATGTCTACTTCATAAAGAGAGCTAGATACAGTAAATGCTAAAGGAGAGAGGCAGCTGAGATGCTAGAAAGAACACTGACCATGTAGTCAGAGAACCCGTGTTCAAATCGTACTTTTGACATTAACTATGGGACTTTGGGCAATTCACTTAACCCCTCGAGGCTTCAGTTTCCTCCCTGACAAAGAGAGGGCTGGATCAGATGGCCTCTGAGGTCCCTTCTAGGTCTAGATATATGATACTTTAAAAATATTGCCGAGAAAATGAAGTCAACTATTTCTTAGTACTTATCTTAGAACTTATATCTTATAACGAGCCAGTTAGAGTGACTGGCTACCAGTGTAGAAGTCATTCTAGAATCAACTGTGTATACAATGAGATCTACTGGTTAGAAGTATGGTCAAATTAGTACCAAATTAGAAGAAAAAATGAAGACACAGTGTATCTTTGCAATTACATCTTCAACTGTTAACTTTGAAAAGTGTGAAATAGATAATAGATTAGAGGATTATATATTTGGAGCTGGAAAGGACCTTTCCAACCAATCTGGCATAACCCTGCCATTTTAGAGAGGAAGAAACTGAGAACCAGAATGATTAAGTGGCTTGCCCAAGGTCATACAGGTAGTAAAAAGCAGAGTTAGGATTCAAATTCAGGTCCTCCAACTCCAAAGCAAATACTATTTCTACTACCACACTCTCAATTCCTTCTTGAATTCTAGAGTTTCGGGCTCAGAGAGGTTAAGGGACTTATCCATGGTCACACTGCTAAAAGTTGGAGGTGGTATTTGAGCCCAGGTTTCTCCTAATTCCAACACTGCCTCTCAAATGACTGAGGTGTACAGAATACAAGATCTGATTGCCAAAAAGTATTCGTCTTGGTGGAATAAAATTCAGCTTTAAAGCTTTCCTGCAAAAGAATGTCTCTTATGCAAATGACAGATCATATATGATTCCTTGATGAATGAGAACACACAGATAATCTTTATCAATGATCCTGTTTATCAATACCAAATAATGCTTAACATATGAACACATATGCCAATAAATATTGTTACTATTGTAATGGAGGATGTCCTATATAAAGTCCAAATGCAAGAGTATCTCTCTATATAACAGTGTTCTTCACATATTGCTTTCCACAGATATTATTTGCTGTTCAGTTGTATCTGACTCTTCGTGACCCCATTTGGGATTTTCTTGGCAAAGATAATGAAGCAATTTGCCATTTATTTCTCCAGGTCATTTTATAGATGAGACAACTGAAGCAAACAGAATTAAGTGATTTGCCCAAGATCACAAAGCTAATAAGTGTCTGAGGGTGAATTTGAATATAAGTCTTCCTGACTCTAGGCCCAGCACTCTATTCACTGTGCCATGTGGCTGCCCATTCAGAGAGTGTGTTAATTATATCAAGGTATGGACCATTATTTAGAGCCTCCAGAATGAGATCCATGGGCCCTTAAGAGACTAGCTAAGCATTCCATATAGGAAAAAACAAGCAGATGAAGAATGAACATTTTCAGTTTATGCCTTATAGTTAAATGGACAGCCTTTTTTTTTTTTTTTTTTTTAGTAAATCAGTGTGTGTAATTACACACCACACAAATACATGCCTATGTACAGACATGCTTGTGTACACACACACATACGCATGCACGCAGCTGGTCAGTGAGCTATGCCCAGAAATGAAAAGGAAGAATAGGCCAAACCACATTTGGAAAGCTGAATAGCATAGTCAATGATTACAATGACCCCAAGTAGCTCTCTCTTGTCAAATACATCTATTTAACACCAATGTACTCTTCAGTGACATTAAATGCTATTATTTGTGAAATTTCAGGAGGACCAAATTTTAAGGTGACCCAAAGATCAATGGGAAGACATATGTTGGATTTAAGGAGTACAGGATATATCACCCACAAAGACACATGCAAAAATGTGATATAAAGACATCTGCTAAGACATATATAACTGGGAAAGGAAGTGGTCAGTCATTTAGTAACACATAAGAGATAGGTAATGCAAGTGTTGTACGGGCCTCCATGAAATATTAAACACACAATACAGGCTTCTCTCTACCCAGAATTACGGACTGATTCTTTATTGAGAATTTATGCAAAGACATGGAAAAGAATCACACTGAAAAAGAAGACATGAATAGGTTGTGATCAGCACCAGTGGAGAGAGTACCCACACAGATGAAACTACATATCAAAGTACCAAATTAGGTAGGGTTCCTAAATTCTGGAAGACAGTGAACCAATTCTAAACGATTTTTATAAACTGGGGAAATGGTCTCACAAAACGGGTAAGAAACACAACAGAGAAACACAAGGTGGTATACTCAGGACCAAAAGGAAAATAAAGGATGGGAAAATAGTAGTTAGGCATCAGTAGAGCAGAAAAAGATCTTGGGAGAAAAGATATGATCTGAATGAATTAGCTAAATAAATCAACGACTCATTTATTTGGTATTTCTGGGGAATGTCATATTTCCACATAAATGTATCTTAAAGGTAACCAATAGTTACTAAGTTGTAATTTTTTAATTGCCATTTTATAGGAATATTTCTAAAATATTCTAAACTTCTCTGTTATCTTCTTGTGTGCAGTACATTATTTAAATTTTTCTTTGTAATTCAGTATCTGACACGTAACTTCCCTGCTCAAGAAGCTTCACTGGCTCCTTTTCACTTCTGAGACACAACAAAATTTGTTTGATTTGGCTTTTAAAGGCCCTGACAATCTGGATCCCATCTTCCAGTCCAACTTTATTGCACATTATTCTCCTTCATGTATTTATCCAAACCAGCTATTGTCTATTACATACTCATTCCATTTCCCATCTCCATAGCTTTGTACAGGGAGTTCCACAAGCTTAGAATGCACTTGCTCCTCATTCCTGCCTTTCTATAGTTGCAGGGTTTTTGGGTTTTGTTTTTTTGTTTTTTTGTTTTTTTTGTATCCTTGCTCTTTGTTAGGCACTACCTGTCACTACTTAATCCTCTTGGTGTGCCAGATTCTTTTGTTTACAATTTTGACAGGACTAAGTTATATACAAAACATACAGGCACCTATAGCTCCTCTCCAAAGTAGGGGGAATTTCCAACCCTTACCCATCCCTTTCTCTTCCTACCTTTCTAATCTGATGCTTTTGATCTGCTAAGAGCTGGAAAATAATTTGTTCTGCTTAGAATTATGTCAAAGCAAGCAGGATCTGAGTAAACAGCTGCACTATAATTAAAATGTATAAGCTACTTTATAGCATGTATCTTGGTTGCTCAGAGACCACTTTTGCTCAAGTCCTCTTTCTCAGATGACTTTTGGAAAGATGAAACTTTAAGTTAAGAGAGGCATTACCTACAGTTTCACTATGAAAAAAGTTGTAGTGTCTAGTTTTAGTTAATATACTTATAAAATGATGTGAAGACGATCAGGAGAAAAGTGATAAAAGGGATAGAAAGCAGGGACTGTGAGAAAAAAAAATAAAAGGAATTAGGCCTATTTGGCTTTAAGAAAAGGCAGCTATGAAGGTACTCAGTAAGATTTTGTAGTGCAAAGAGTCCAGATCTGGAAGCCAGGAGACCCAATACTAGCTTTGCTACTTGCTCTATCACCTTAGATCAGGTGTTAAACTCAGCCTGAAAATTCCAAGTATGGGAACCATGTTAAAATGTAATTCAGAAATGTTTAACAAAATAAAATTTAAAAATACAATACAGATAATGTTAATTTGTGGTTTTCTAAGTCAATATATGGCCAGCAGGGATCCATTTCTATGTGAGTTTGGCACCACTGGCTTAGACAATTGACTTCAACTCTCTTACCCTCAATTTTCTCATCTATAAAATAAGGGCATCAGACTAGGAACACTTTCAGGTTTAACAGTCAATGATTCTATGAATGAACTATTGATTTCAATATATAAAGGACACTTTATATAAGTAAGATTCATAAAATCATGGGATCTAGAACTGAGAAGCACCTAACAAGTTATGTAGTCCCATGCCAGAAGCTGACTAGAGTTATCCATGCGTACTAGTAAGAGAAAATGGAATTAAATTGAAAGTAATTCTGATTGCCTGGTGGGATACCATGGCCTATTACCCACCAATGCAATACTCGCTCCATTACCCTTCACTAGCCACCCAGGAGAAGAACAAGGTCACCTGGTAGACTTGGGCCAAACCAGGATCCAGGAATGACTACTGACTAGCACCTTCTGATAGCCCTAAGACACCACTGTACCCCTTCCCCTCACCTCTAACAATTGTTCCCCTACTCTTCCAGTCTCCCAGGCTGCCCCAGATCTTTATGTTGGGTGTTGACCCTTTGGAGACTGTGAGCTTCTCTCCCCATCCGACCGCCACTATTACTCATATGGCCTCCCCTTTTTTTTTCTCGTTTAGGAGAAAACTGTCCCCTGTCCCTGCTTCATGTTCTTTTATCCTCATCCTCTTTAACCAAACTCCATCCATGTCCCAACCCAACCTGGCCCACTCCTTGCATTGTGCCTTCTGGAATCCCTGTTCCATAGCAAACAAACTCCCCTTTACTCTGGACTTCTTTTTTATGCTTTATTGATGCATTGATTAGACCTCACAAAGCCCTCTTTCATATAACAACACTGAATCCACGGCTATTTTCTCCAGCAGAGGCTGTACCTTTTCTCATTCCTACCCTGGCCTATAACTTTGGTCCAGGGCAGGAGAGATGAGAGAAGACAGGACTTGGAATACTCTTTGCTCCTTTTTATTTCTTCTAGACTCTCCCTCTGCCTCTTTCACTCAGCAACCTTTCCTCTTTCTAGTTCACATAGTTAAAATTTTCCACTCAGTCAAAATTACGGTAGCTGTAAAATACTGGCTCCCAGTTCATTCTTCCTACTTTCTTAAGGAATGCAGCACTTGACTCTCTACCTTCCTCTACTCCCTAACTCCTTCCCTTATACTAGGGGACTTTTAATACTGATGTAAATGCTTTCTCAAACTCTCTGACCTCCCATTTCTTCAATTTCCTTAAATCCCATAAACTACTTCTTCACTTCATCTCAGTCACATATAGAGATGGTCACACACTAGATATTGCCATTACTTGCAAGTATTTCACCTCCCAAATTAGAAAATGACATTCAACTATCTGACCAAACATTCTATCATTCTACCTCTTTCCATGCTATTCCCCCCACATCTATTCTTCAGCCTCACTGAAGACCTCCATTCCCTCTACTCCTCAGTACTTTCAAGCCATTAACCTTGATCTTTCTTTACTCGTCTCACTCTTCAAACTCAATCCAATAGTTGGTAAATTCAACTCTACACTGTCCTCTTCTCTTGAATCTCCTGCCTCCTTTGTCCTGTCATCAATCTTCTGTAAAACATCTGCCTGGGATTACTATCAGCACCCTTTTCTGCTCCTACTCACAAGATGCTGAATGAACCTGGAGGAAATCCTACAATTGTGCTAACTGGGTACATTACAATCTCATGTTTTCCAACCTCAAACAGCCTCTCATTGAAACAAGCTAGTGCCACTTGAATTCCTATCTCACTTCTCACAGAAGCTATTCTAAACTTTCTTTTCCTTCATGCAGCTCCCCAATAACCTATGCCCTCCTTTGGGTGAGAACCTTGCAGTTTGCTTTAGTGGAGGTCATTCAACTTGAGCCTCCTCTTTGGCCAATCTCTTTACCTCAAAGGAATGACCTCCTTTCCCCCACTTCTGACAACAAGGTAGTCCTTCTCTTTGCTAAGCCAACTCCTTTAAATGCATACTTGATCACATCTGTTACCTTCTCCAGCAGACTGTATCCTCAATCACACCTTCCTCTAATCGATTTTTCAAACTCTTCCTATGAACTGGTTCATTTCCTACTGTCTTCAAACATTTCCAAATCTCCCCCTTCCTAAAAAAATTCTCACTACACCCTATCATCCTACATCTCTCTTCCTTTTCTCAGTCAAATCCTTGAAAAAGTTGTCTATATTTGCTGCCTCTACTTTCTCTCCCCTCACTCACTCCTTAGCTCTTTTCAATTTGGTTTTTAAACTAATCATGCAACTAAAAAAGCTCCCTCTGAAGTTATCAATGATCTGCTGTTTTTCAGTCATGACCTCATTTGAGGTTTTCTTGGCAGAGATATTAGAGTGACTAGCCATTTCCTTCTCCAGCTCATTTTACAGATGAGGAAACTGAGGCAAATGGGGTTAAGTCACTTGCCCAGGGTAAAAAAGTTACTATCTGAAGTCAGATTAGAACTCACAAAGATGAGTCTGACTCCAGACCCAGCGTTCTATCCACTCTACCACCCAGCTGCCCCAAGGATTTCTTAACTGTCAAATTTAATCTTTTCTCAGTCCTAATCCTTCATGACTTATGTATATGATACTATCGACCACCCTCTCCCTCCTGGATACTCTTTCCTCTCTGAATTTTCATGACATTATACTCTTCTGCTGGTCTCCTCCTGCATTAGTCTCCTCTGCTGGTTCATTACTCAAACATCCTGCCCCCTAACTATAAATGTTCCCCCAGGTTCTTCCAATGTCTTTCTCTTCTCCCTCTATACATGGGGTTAACTTTTGGGGGGTATCAGCCCCTTTGGAAGTGTGGTAACCATAATGGATCCCTTTTTAGAATAATATTTATAAATGAACAAAATACATATATAAAATTACAAAGGAAGCCAATTACACTGAAATAGAGTTAACAAACTACTAAAAGTTCTAAGTTCACAGAATGCCTAAAATCTATTCATATACTTCTTCAGCTTCCACAGCTTTAACTATTATCTTTGCATTGATGATTCTTAGATCTATATGATTTAGACATTCATTTGAGCAAAAAAGTGTCTAGACCAGATGATCTCTCAGATCCCTTTTAGTTTAGTTTATCATTCAATATAATCTTCCATTTCCTTTCATCTTCTCTTTCCCCACCCCCAGGAAATTCTCTAAAGCATATTACATTTCTTTCAGATATGTTTCTAATACTATGGCAACTAGTATATCATGGAGAACTCCATATATTGGACCCATAGCATAAAAAGCTATCAGCAAATTAGCAGTTTTACTCAGACACAAACATTTCTTAAATGTTTCAGGAAATGTCAAATTAAAAATGTCATAAACATTTACTTACATTTGATAAGCTGTACCACTTCCAAATGGTTTGAATGAGTAACTAGAGTTCCATTTACCTATTAGAAAAAAAGGGGGGGGGAGTAGGCATATCTGATTCATTATAATGGTGTAAAGGATATAAATATTCATCTATAACCTTGCATGCACACTACAAAATATTCATAACATAATGGATATATGAAGAGATTTTTATGAATCTGAGCTTAAGATATGTTCTCCTGCAGTGAAGCACATTACATTCTATTCAAATGAGAAGACATCACACAATGAACTTTCAAATTCTTCAGAGTGAAGAGTACTTGCAAATAAGAAACAGTTTTGTTTTTTCATGTAAACAAACTCCACATCCAAGATGTAGATTAAGAAAATAAAAAGATAAAGAAGTAAATAATATTTTCAGAAAAATAATACATTTCTCCCCAAAAGTCTAACTTATAAACATTTCAACAAGTTCATTTTCAAGCATTCTGAATTTAGGTGCTACCCAAAGGCTCTAAATCTTAAGTGCTTTCTCATATTTTGTTAAATAAAACATTCTCCAACAAGTTCCTACCAGGTCATATAAATTATTTGAGGACAGGAAAATGTTTAGTTTAATCTTTTTATTATTAGCTCCTATCACAATATCTTATTCATAGTAAAAACTTTAACAAATATTTGTTGAACTGAATTCAAATACATCAAATCAATCTTTTTTTTTAGCTATAATGTATGCATGATATGCAACTGGGTTATTTAAGAAAGCATTAGTCAAGAAGTACATAAGTACATAAGAAGTATCATTCAGCAAAATGTCGACCAAAAAAAAAGTCTTCCTTACCTTGATGATTCGATCACCTGTTTGTACTCCAGCCCGCATGGCTGCTCCATCTAAAGAAGGATTTGGTTATGTAAAATTGAACTCATTTCTTTAATTTCAATGAATATAAAAATGGTCTTAATTATTCTTGAGTCTGTGCTTTATTCAAGATGTCTTTGTAAAAAAACAATTCACTAGTGTCACAAATAAACGAAATGACAAGAATCCAGCTTTTCCAGCCAAGGTAAAGCAACACACTGTATTATGGCCATCATACCATAACATTCAAACATGCATATGTGCACGTACACACAGGTATGCACATACACACACACGCAGTGTGGCCTACTGGATAGAAAGCATATCTCGGGGGCCAGGAAGACTTAAGTTTAAGGCCAGTCTCTCACATATATTAGCTATATAACATCAAACAAGTTACTTAACCTCTCATTCTCCCAAACAACCACAAGTTGCAGAACAGGTGCTAATCTGTACTGGTACAGAAAGTTTTCTCATTAAAAGCTGCCTATAATAATTAAATCATAGGTCTAATCTGAGATATGAGATAGACAGATAGTTATACATGCATAGACGCAAACAGAAGTATATGTGTATATTTATATGTGTGTGTATATATACATATATACTTTTTTTAAACAGTAAACAAAAATTTCTTATTTCTTCTAAAACACTAAACAAACACTGAGATAATTTCATCTTAGGTGAATTCACACTGTACTTAATGTAGTAATGGATACAAGTTAGTCTATCTCAAAAAAAAAAAAAAATGAAGTGTGAGACATGAATCCAGCTTTTCTAATCTTACCCCTTTACTTCCTAAGAAACAAAACACTATCATCAACATGCTCATAAAGAAGTGCTTGCCTTCTTTAACAGACTGTACGAAGACTGGATTGTCTCCACTGACCGTCAGCCCAAATCCATTGTCATCCTTCTGGATAATCACACAGCGCTGAACAAGACCTATACAAAATATGGGGTGAGGAAAGGAAGACAAAATATAAGAAAAATACAGAAATGATTACTAAATATCAGTAACAAATCACATTTTAGAAGAATTACAAAGTAAAAAATGAAATCTATATAGATAGGGAAAAAATAGGATCTAGGAACCACAACAAACAGAAGGGAAACATCAGTAAGATCACACCCAGACTACAGTCATTTCTCAATACAGTGTTAGAACAGAACGGATTGTAAGAATCGGGAAACCTGACTGAGATAGCTATTAAGAACGACAGTCTTATAAGCAAAATATACCAACAGTTTTTATGCTACATTCTTATAATTTTAAGTGGGTTTTTTTTAATGACAAAATCAAGCATTTTAGGATAGATAGATTGTTAAACTCTTCCTGTTCTGCAAAAAAAGATCCTAAGATCACGGATCTAGAGCTAAAAAGGACCTCAGAGAAGATCTAATCTAACTCCCTCATTTCCTGATAAGGAAACCGAACCTCAGGGGGAAGGAGTGATTTTTAGAGAGAAGCCCATTTTGGAATAAAATATTTGTGTGAATATGTATACATATATGTGTGTGCATATGCACACACATACACATAAATGAGGTGGGGGGCGGTACAGAGAGACAAGACCATGTGAAAGACCCAGCCTCCACAGCACATTCAAGATGGTAAACGAGAAAGGGCTAATAGAAGAAAAAGAAAGAGAAGAAAATCCAAGACTAGATCACACTCACCCTCATTCACTCAAGCCTTATCTGAATTTTGGGAGACAGTTCAGGTCCTTTATGCAACAAAGGAAAATTGACAAGGAGTGATATATAAAGTAAGTGATATATAAAGACAGCTCTTGGCTACAGAGGGGAAATTGGAGTAAAAGCTCATGCCTAGATAACACCCAGGAGCTAGAGTCTACCAAAGGCGAGTACAGCAATCATCATATTTACTTATCACCATGTATCCTCTTTCACCCTTAGAACACCTGTATAAGAACCTCACCAAAATGGAGTACGTGGCAGGGGGAAGGAGGAGGGGGAGAATGAAACTATCTTTTTCTACATTAAGATTTTCTAAATCTCAAAAGGGAAATATTTCAATTCCATCTGACGTAAAACCAAAGCAAAGATAACAAACATTAGCTCTAAGTTTGCAGTGTACTAGAAAAGGTATTAGACTACAAACTGGGAAACCTGGATTCCAGTCCTGCTCTTGCCACTATTTACTATGTGATATTGATAAAATCACTGTCATATTACTCTCCCCTCCCCCTTTAGATCTTAATGTCCTTGTCTGTAAAATGAGGGAATTAGGGCAAAATTGTCCCTAAGGTCCCTTTCGGTTCTAATGATTTAGTATATACAAAGATAAAGAAGGATAAGTGCGAGTAAGTCAAATTAGGTAACAAAAAATTCAAAATAAGTTCATGCATAATAAAGTATTAAATAGGATGAAAAAATAAGAGGGAGAATTAAAGAAAAAAACTGAAACTGTGAAGCAGTGCGAAAAGTTTCAGATCTGGAACTGGAAGCCTAGGTCTGAATCCGGCTCTGATAACTAGCTGTATGGCCTTGGGCAAGTCACATTATTAACCCTGCTTAGGACTCACTTCCCTTATCCATAACGAGGATACTACCCAAAAAGGTAAGATGAAATGTGTTTTGTTAACTTCAACTTATTATGATAAGATTATGACAAATATAAATGTTGATTCAATGTTCCTAACAATAGCTCTAAGGCCCTAGTATGTCTAAGCTAAGACATCTCACATGAGAAAGAATTAAGTAATATAAAAATAAATAATTAAGTAGTAAAATAAATGGTAGTCAAAAAGTAGCTATGAAAATAACAGGAAAGAAATGAAAAGTGGCCTCCAAAGGCTAACCAACTTTACATCCCTAAAATTCAACTGTCATCTTTTTCAATTAATAAAAACATTTTCTTGTTAGATTTTTTTTTATTACTCATTTCAACACTTAACATACATTTATATTTTGGTCCTCCATGCAGATATGAAAATTTTATAAATCTCTTCCAAAGATATAAAATGTTGCAATAACATTGTTTGAGACTTCCAGGTCACTCACTAGCTAACGGACTAGATACTTTCCCTGATCCTCATTAACTCTCAACACCAATCTCCTGCTGTTGTCCCCTCCCACCCACCAGAAGTATTATAAAGAATAATCACAACTGAATATATTAGACAAAAGAGAGAATCCAGATATAGGAAAAGCCTTATGAATGAATACTGAAGACCACTAATCCTTAAAGAATTCACTCAGCACCTCTCTCCCATTACACTCCCATGAGGGGTACATGAAACAATCTCAGGATAACACCTGTGGCCCATTCTTTCCAGCTGCAAACTTTGCAAACATATCCTTTCAATTACTGATTTCTTCACCCTCACAAACAAAAAACAAAAAACAACCCCCCCCCAAAAAAAACAAAAATAAAAAGCCGGAGACGTTGATTCCAGGAATGAGGGAGAAGGAAAATAGGGAAGCATGCTGCCTCTGCCTGGGGCAGTCCCAGGCTTAGGGACTCCCAAGTCTGCAAAGGTCTGAAACACTCTCTCTTCCTTCTCTTAATACAAGGGGGAAAAAAAGGGCAGAGAAAGAAAAGATGTGAACCAGGAGAGGAACTGGTGAAGGGGTCTAATATTAAGTGGCTACAAAGGGATTTAGGAAATGCAAATTCAGTTGGTAGCAATATTGTCCCTTCTCCCCAGTTTACAGGACCAAGGGCTAGTGAAATGTAAATCCCACAAAATGGCAGGAGACTAATATACCTTTTCAGCCCAACCTTTTATTCACCTTTATCCATGGGGTCTATCCACCAGGAAAGAAGGGAAAGTAGGAAATAAATGGGCAATGTAAGGTAAAAACACTGACACACCAAAGCTTGCAAGAAGAAAACTCAGTAAAAATCCAGAGCACCAGCAGATTAACAATGAAGATGCTAATAAAATTAGAAGGATGAGCATTAAACCATCAAAGAGATTACAAAGCTCTCAAGCTTCTAGGAATTATATTATAATTATATTATAAGACAATGGAAAGTGAACCAATGCCTGGTGAAACAATCTTGTAGAATGTCAAGAGACCACAGAACAAAATATTCTAGAATAGTTCAAAAGGAAAATGAAATCTATTTTTAAAAAAACTAGGAAAGAAAATGTCATAAGAAAAAGATCTAAATGCAGTATTTTTTAATTCCATAAGCAGACTAGAAAAGTCTTCCTAAGAAGCAAACGAGAGATGAACTGTTTTATAATACAAAATGTCAGAGTGAAATTAAAACTGGAAGAAAACAAGTAAAAATTATTTTTTTTTAAAAAAATCATTATCTCTGTACAAGCCAAAGTCTCAAAGATAGGCTGGACAGAAACAACTTACAGATCATAGTACTCTTAAAATAACACAACAAATCAAAAAACCTAAATATCATAATGCAAGAAGCAGTCTGTCCTGAACTTATTAATATAGAAAAGAAAGCACAAATTGAAAGAATACATGATTCCACAGTGGTTAAATTTAACAGTTCCAATGACAAACAACAAATTCTGCAAGTGACCAAGAGAACTTCAAATAAAAAGGAAAGACAAGTCAACATAAACCACTTAAAACCATAAAGTGAAATGGAATAATACAAGGTGTTCAAAAAGTCTTAGTTCAGCTTTAAGCTAATTGCTCTAAGATTTTTGGAACACCTTGCACTAGTCCAAAAAACAAAGGAGTAGGGCAGCTAGGCGGTGCAGTGGATAGAGTACCGGCCCTGAAGTCAGGAGTACCTAAGTTCAAATCCAGCCTCAGACCAAACACTTGACACTTACTAGCTGTGTGACCCTGGGCAAGTCACTTAACCCCAATTGCCTAATTAAAAAAAAAAAAAAAAAGAAAGAAGAAAAAAAAAAAACAAAGAAGTTAAAACTGCAACCCAAAATGACATGGCTTACAAATCTGAGTCTACTCATCAATGAGAAAATATAGGCATATAACAAAATAAAGGTATCTGGTATATTTCTGAAAATCATACATTCACCCATACACAAACACACACACACACACAAACACTCTCAACATATATGAAAAAGGTAAATAAGTAGTTACCAAGTGATTAAGTCAGTTACTACATGTTTAAAAGTAATATAAAAAAGAAACAGAAAAAAAATGTTTATAACCTTCAGATACTTAATATCAAGTGTTACATAATGCAGCATAATATGACTTATGCTTGCCAAAAGTGTGTCACTGTCAGAGGCTGTCCAGTGCAGTTGGTCATCACGATGCCATGTCAACTTGAAAGGAGGTCTTCAGTGATATACCTCAGGAATTTGTCATAGATTCAATAGTATTTTAGCTTTTTTTTTCTTTAAATAAAGAACTTGAATAAAGACATAGATAAAATGTTTATGAAATCTGTAGAGGACACAAAGTTAAGAGGGATAGTTAACATACTGGACAACAGAATCAGGATTCAAGAAGATCATGATAGGTTAGAAGACTGAATTAAATATAATTAACTGAAATTAAAAGGTTAAAATAAGTTAAAAAATTCACCAAGTTTAACATGAGGAAGACTTACTATTGGTGTGACAAAGTCAGAAGGGTTTTAGCAAACTCCAAAATCACTATAAATCAACAGTATGATATGGCGAGAGAGAGAGAGACAGAGAGAGAGAGAGAGAGAGAGGGAGAGACAGAGAGAGAGAGAGAGAGACAAAGAGACAGAGAGACAGAGACAGAGAGAGTGTGTGTGTGTGTGTGTGTGCGTGCGCATGCGCATGTATTACACTGCATTAGGATAGATAAAAGGGTCCAGGACCAGATTGCTGAGAGTCATAATATATTTCACTGATCAGAATACATCTGTGGTATTCATTTGCCTATGGACATCACATAATATGAAATTGAAGAATATCCAGAGAAGGGTAATTCAAATGTTGAAGGGTTCTGAATCATGCTCTATAAAGATATTAAAACAAAGAAATGGAGATATT